GACTGGAGCAGGAAGGTGAGGGGACTCTGGACCAGGAAGGTGGGGGACTCTGGACCAGGAAGGTGGGGGGACTGGAGCAGGAAGGTGAGGGGACTGGACCAGGAAGGTGGGGGGACTGGACCAGGAAGGTGGGGGACTCTGAACCAGGAAGGTGAGGGAAATACACCAGAAAGGTGGGGGACCCTGGACCAGGAAGGCAAGGACTTCCCTCCTGACAGAGCCCTCCCTGCCTGTAGAGGGCAGGCAAGTCACTACTTTCTGTGCCTCGGTTTCCTAGTCTGTGCAATGGGTCCACAGGGACATCGGGAGTCCCCAGGCTCTTGAATCGGGCTGTGTTGGGAGCAGCCCTCCCTGCCAGCCCGGGCAGGCTGGGGCTGTTTTGTGTGGCCAGGCTGGTGACTGCTGCCAGCTCAGTGTCCAGGGGCAGGGCACAGGGTGTGGATGGGTCAGCTGCATCCCTTTCGTTCCCAGGCAGCTCGGCCACCTCTCTCTGGGAGGAGAACTTTGCCCTCCTTGGTGAGGAACCCCCTACGCCACCGGGGCCTCCCAGCCCTGCTCCTGGACTTTGGTCCAAGTTGGCCTGTGGAAGGATCCCAGCCCAGGGGCGCCTCTCCTCCCCACCCAGCAGCCAGCAAGGCCAGGGGAGTGGGCAGGGTTTGCCTGCCCCTCCCAGATGAGGAAACTGAAGCACAGAGAGAGGGTGAGAAGTGGGGGCAAGATCAGACCCACCCTGGCAATGGGGGGGCCACTGAAGCCTTGTGGGTTTGTTTTTTTTACTTTTTTCTAAATTAGCATACAGTAAAATTGACGTTGAGGGTGGGGTGTGCAGTTCTGTTATAGGTTTGTGTCAGAACACAGAACAGCTCCGTCACCCCAAAACTCCCTTGTGTGGAGCCTATGTGGTCACAGCCCTGCCCCACCCCACCGCCCGGCAACACTGCTCTGTGCCCCATCACTACAGTTTTGTCTTTTTGAGAATCCCCTATGAATGAAATCATGCAGTTTATAACCGTCTTTGTTCTGCTTCGTAAACTTATTTCAAGAAAATGCGTGTGTAGAGCAAGAATTGTCTACAGCACTAGGCTGCGGGGGGTCTGCACCCGCGTGCCGGCCCCGGCGCCCTTCATGGGGCCCTGCGTCTGTCCACAGGCTCCTTACTGACCGTAGGCGTCCTGTGCGTACATCGTCAGGTGGGTGGCTTGGAAACACCTTCTCCCAGTCTGGCTGGTCGATCAAATGCGTGGCTGTCTTTCGATGAGCAGAAAGGTTTAATTTTGATGACGTCCAGTCGTATCCATTTTTTCTTTTATGATTAGGGTTTTTTGTTTTTTTGGTCTTTTTGTCATTGCTTGACTCAAGGTTCTAAAGATTTCTTCCTCTGTTTTCTTCTAGATACTTTGTAGTGTAGGCTTTTACATTTAGGTCTCTGATCCATTTTAAATTTGTTTTTGGGTATGGTGTGACTCTAGGCTAATTTTTTTCCCACAGGAATGTCCAGTCGTATTAAAAAGACATTCCTCCCTGCATTGAGTTGCTTTGGAGCCTTTGTCAAAAATCAGTGACTTGGAAATGGATGGGTCTACTCCTGGACTCTCTCTCTTTCACTCGTGGCTTTATTACCGATCTTGAAATCAGGCAATGTGAGTCCTCCAGTTTTGTTCTTTTTCTTCAACGTCTTCTTGACTATTCTAAGTTCTTCGGACTTGGATTTCCATTTTAGAATCAAATTGTCCATTTCTACCCCCTAAAAAAAGCCTACTAGAATTCTGATTGGCGTGGAGTCAAATCTGTGGATCCATTTGGGGAGAACTGACGTCTTGACAGTATTGAGTCTTTCCCATCCGTGAACGTGGTGTCTCGCCACTTACCGGGTCTTCTCTCGTTTCTCTCAGAGTGCTTTGTGGCTTCACTGTAGAGACTCGCGTGTCTTTTGTTAAAACACATCCTAGGTATTTGATCCGGTTTTTATATGCTGTTGTAAATGGTATTGTTTTTTAAATTTTATTTTCCAACTGTCTGTTGCTGGCATATAGAAAAACAATTGAAGTTTTATCTAGTGATCTTGCTGAGGCCTTGCCGAATTCATTGGTTTGTTCTGGTGGTTGCTCGTAGATTCATTGGATTTAGTGTGGATACAGTCATTTTGTCTGAAATATTAATTTCTTATTTTTAGCGACTTTCTTTTTCTTGCTTCATTGCCCTGGCTAGGACCACAAGGACAATGCTGAATAAAAGTAATGAGAGTGGGCACCCTTGACTTGTGTCCAGTGTTAGAAAAAAGTATTCATGGTTTCCCCATTTTCTTTCTTTCTCTCTTCCTTCCTTCCTTCCTTCCTTCCTTCCTTCCTTCCTCCCTCCCTCCCTCCCTCCCTTCCTTCCTTCCTTCCTTCCTCCCTCCCTCCCTTCCTTCCTTCCTTCCTTCCATGAGGAAGATTGGCCCTGAGCTAACACCCGTTGCCAATCTTCCTCTGTTTTGTATGTGGGGTGCTGCCCCTGCAGCATGGCTTGATGAGCAGTGTGTAGGTCCGTGCCCATGATCCGAACCTGCGAACCCCGGGCCGCCGATGCAGAGTGCAAGAACTTAACTACGACCACCGGGCTGGCCCCGAGGTTTCCTCATTTTCTATGCTGTCTGTCTTTGTAGATACTCTCTATTAGAGTACCCTTCCATTCCGTGTTTGCTGAGAGTTTTTATCATGAAAGATGTTGCATTTCGTCAAATGCTTTCTCTGTTGAGGAATCTGTTGAGATTTATTCACCACTGTTAATGTAGTGAATCACGCTGATTGATTTTTTTTGAATGTTGAACCAACCTTGCATTTCTGGGATAATCCTCATTTATTCATGGTGTGTTATCCTTTTAATGTGTTAACAGACTAATTTGCTAATTTGCTAATACTTCATTAAGGATATTTTGCATTAATGTGTATTAGAGATATGGGTCTATAATTGTCTTTTCCTGTAATGCCCTTGGCAGGTTTTGGTGTCAGAGTTACGTTGGCTTTATAAAACAAGTAGGGACGTATTCCCTCCTCCTCTGTTTTCAGAGAGAGTTTATGAAAGATTGTGATTATTTCTTCCTTGAGTATCTGATAGGATTCACCAGTGAGGCCCTCTGAGAGAGGATTCTCTTTGTGGGAAGATTTATTTCCCACAAAGATTTTCCAAAAAGATCATATTTGTGATTATGAATTCACGTTTATGCCTGTAAGATCTGTAACAAGGTCACCTCTTTTCTTCTGGTTATTGGTCATTTGTGTGTTCTCTATTTTTCTCTTGTTCAGTCTTGCTAAGGGGTTATCAATTTCGTTAATCATTCAGAACCAACTTCGGGCTTTGTTGATTTTTCTCTTGTTTGTCTGTTTATTAGTCTGTTGGTTTCTGCTCTTAATTTCCTTCCTTCCACTTACTCTGGGTTTTATTTGACTGTCTTTTTCCAGTTTCTTAAGGGGACTGCTTCAATCCTTGATAGTAAGTCTTCCTTCTTTCCTAACTTATTCGTTTAAAGCTACCAAGTTCCCTCGAAGAACTCTGTCAGCTATATCCCGCGAGGTTTGATGTGCATGTTTTTATTATCGCTCTGCAGAATGCTTTCTCGTTTTCCTGTGGGTTATTTAGATGGCTCTTTTTCCATGTAAACATTTACAGCCAGAAATTTCCCCCAGCACTGCCTCTGCTGCGTTGGGTTTTCATTTTCATCTGTCTCTAAGTGTTTTCTTATTTCCCTACAACCTCGTCTGTCACCACTTGGTTGTTTAAAAATGTGTTGTTTAGTTTCCACAGATCTGGACCCATGAGTTATTTAGAAGTGTGTTGCTTAATTTCCAATTTTGGGGGGGTTTCCGGTTATCTTTTTGTTATCAATTTAATTCCGTTACAGTCGGTTTCAGTCGTTTAAGATTGCTGGAGACTTGTTTTGCAGCCCAGCAGCGTGGGTGTGTGTGGTTTGGTTGTGCTGTGTTTCGCTAGGAACGTGTGTTTCGGGTTTAACCCCGCCTGGCGCAGACAGATGGGCTGCACTCTATCCCATCGCTTGCTTCCGCCCACTTCTCTCTCCACCCTGTTGACGGACGTGTAGGTTGGGTCCAGCCTCTGTTGCTACAGTTGTGCAGTGCGCAGCCTTGTACCCGTGCCATGTTCTGCACGTGTGCGGTTACCTGCAGCAGAATTCTGAGAGGAAAGGGTGTACACCATTACAGGTGTCACTGACTTCTCCCCAGAGCAGTTGGGCATGTACAGAATGAGAGTTCCCATTTCTCTACATCTTAACCCATGGGGACTTGTTAGTACTGGTCAATAGAATAGGTAAAGAATTCAATGGTTGATTCATTCTTAAAGTAATTGTCTCAGAGTTTCAATTTGCAATTCTTTTATTGAATGAGATTGCATACAAATTTCTATATTAAAAAGGTACTTTTATTTTCCTGTAGACTCTCTGTGCATATCTTTTGCCACTTTTTCTATTGGGGTCTTAATCTTTTGCCTATTTACATATTTTTTCACTTATTTATTCATTTGTTGTCGGTATCCTTAATGATTATATTTAGCCATAGAGCTTTTAACAAAGTAAGAACTACATTTGTAATGTATATTGGTCTTTTTGTATATTAAGAAAAGTAGCCTTCATTGTATCTATTATATCTACGTTTTTCCTACTTTTTTGTTTGTTCTCTTTACTTTATATATGGTTTTTCTTTCCAGGCAGAAATTTTTATTTTTTTATTAAATCAAATTTATAGGTCTTTTCTTTTAAGTGTCTGGATTTTCCTCCTTGCTTAGGAAGGTGCCCCGTGAGGAAGGCCTTTCTGAGATTGTCAGGAATCACCCAGTGTTTTCTTCTAGCACTTTCACGATTTCGTGTTTTATGGTTCAGTCCTGACCGCCTGGACTCGATGTCAGTGTTGAGCCAGGTGTCCCGGCGTTGTTTACTGAATTCAGCGAAGGGCAGCGCAGACACTTGGGGAGGCTGGCAGGAGGGGGGCCCGAGCCAGGCTTGGAGCCAGAGGAGAGGAGGACACTGGGAAGGGGAGGGCTGGGCTGGCCAAGGGTCCCCAGGGGCTGCCCCAGACCCCAGACGGCCGCCCAGGACACTCACTCACTCCCTGCATGTTCATTGACGGCCTGCTGCGTGCCAGGCTCCAGGGAGATGGCAGTGAGCCCGGCAGCCGGAAAATAAACAAAGAAGCACGATGTCGGATCACCATAAATGAAAAACAGGGCATGTCATGGGTGTGGTGTCAGAGCAATGCTGTCGCTGGGCAGTCAGGAAGGCAACGTCTGAGCAGAATCTTGGAAGAAGAGAGAGCTGAGGAAGGCCAGGGGAGGGGGATAGAGACAGCATGTGCAAAGGCCCTGTGGTGAGCCTGTGCCGGGTCTGCTGGGGGGAAGGGAGGCTGGTGTTCCTGGATCCCAGTGACAGGAGATGGGGTGGGGTGGGGGACTGTTTGTGTAGGGTTGCTAAGGGTCTTATCAGGGCACGTCCAGGGCCCCCTCAGACATCCACCAAGGCAACACAGAGACCCCCGTAAGGTGGAGTTGTGTCTCTTCAAGCCCCCAGGACAGGGATGCTCCCCCTCAGACCCCCGCGGTTGGCCGTGGCCCTCCAACCCCCAGGGCACAGCCCCTTGGCTCCGGCTCTTGGCACAAGGAGGGCTCTGCCCAGAGTGACCGCCTGCCCCCCGGCCCCCAGCACTTGGCCACGTTCATCATGGACAAGAGTGAGGCCATCGTGTCTGTGGACGACGCCATCCGGAAGCTGGTGCAGCTGAGCTCCAAGGAGAAGATCTGGACGCAGGAGATGCTGCTGCAGGTCAACGACAAGTCGCTGCGGCTGCTGGACGTGGAGACCCAGGTGCGGCCCCGGCAGGGGCAGGGGGGGCGTCCGCCTGTCCCGCAAGGTGGGCAGAGGCCGTGACCCAGACGCAGGGCTCGGCCTCTCTGGGGCGGGGAACAGGACGAGGGCAAAGGGCAGGCAGGGCAGGAAGGACCGGAAGGGCAGAGTCCAAGGGAGCCACGTCCACCTCTGCAAGAGCCTGTCCGCCAGCTGGCCGAGCCAGGGCCTGGCTGTGTCCAGGGCTCTGTGTGCCACAGCTGTGGCCGTTGCCCGGTGGAGTCCCGTGTCTGTGTCCACGTCCCGGCCACGTCCTTTTTCTGTGCTTGCAAATTACGCATGTCTGTGTCGGTGGCACGATCTCCCCAGGCTGGGCCCACGTGTCACGCCCACGCCCACGGCACCACGTCCGTTACTCGGGTCTGTCCCATGCCCACGGCTGTGACCCGGTCCGGGTCCAGGTCTGAGTCATGCCTGTGCGACGTGGCCGAGCCCCCGTCCCCCTGTCCCCCAGGAGGAGCTGGAGAACTTCCCGCTGCCCACCGTGCGGCACAGCCAGACGGTGCTGAACCAGCTGCGCTACCCGTCCGTGCTGCTGCTCGTGTGCCAGGACTCGGAGCAGAACAAGCCCGACATCCACTTCTTCCACTGCGACGAGGTGGAGGTGAGGCCGGTGGCCCGCGGGGCTGGCTGGGTGGGCACCGTGGCCCCCCAGGCCAGCCTGACCCCTGTCCCCGCAGGCCGAGCTGGTGCACGAGGACATCGAGAGCGCGCTGGCCGACTGCCGGCTGGGGAAGAAGATGCGGCCGCAGACCCTGAAGTAGGGCGGTGGGGCACGGGGAGGGAGGGCCAGGTGGGGAGGGGCCGGCACGGGGCTGGGGCCGTGCCCAGGCTGAGCGGGGCCTTCGTCCCCACTCCAGGGGCCACCAGGAGAAGATCCGGCAGCGGCTGTCGGTCCTGCCTCCCCCGCAGGGCCCGGCCCCCATCCCCTTCCAGCGCCACGGCGGGGACTCCCCTTCCCCCAAGAACCGAGTGGGCCTGCCGCTGCCGCTCAGCGAGCCAAGTAGGCCAAGGGGCTGGGCTGGGGGCTGCGTGGGGCCCCGTGGGGGTGGCTTCACCCCGGTCAGCAGCAGCTCTGTCCCCACCCAGGCTTCCGCCGTCGGGAGTCTCAGGACGAGGAGCCGCGGGCCCTGCTGGCTCAGAAGATAGAGAAGGAGACGGTGGGTCTCGCTCGCCCAGGGCCTGGTGGGGCACCCCGCCCACCCCATGCCCCCTGCAGGCAGCCCCCAGCCGGCACCCACACCCTGCCCCAGGCCAGGGGCTGTCCCTGCGGCCGGCGGGGGTGCCGGACGCTGACCTCTGCCCCCGCCCGCTCTGACCCCAGCAAATCCTCAACTGCGCCCTGGACGACATCGAGTGGTTCGTGGCTCGGCTGCACAAGGCGTCCGAGGCTTTCAAGCAGCTGAACCAGCGCAAGAAGGGGAAGAAGAAGGGGAAGAAGGGGCCAGCAGGTGGGGGCACGGGCAGGTGGGGGGC